TTGGCCACTAGTTTAGGGATGGTAAGCTAAACCCATCCTATTGTAAACACCATACTTCTTGAGAAGGGTATCTAACTTCCGCTCATGAAAGTGAGATCCTCCATCACTAATAACGGCTCGAGGGACACCAAATCTAGGAAAAATTATTTTCTTAAAAAGCTTATGGACCACCTTGGCATCATTGGTAGGTGTGGCAATGGCTTCAACCCACTTGGATACATAATCAACGGCGACAAGGATATAGCGATTCCCTTTTGAAGAGGGAAAAGGTCCCATATAATCAACACCCTAAACATCAAAAATTTCAACTTCTAAAATACCATTTGGAGGCATCTCATACCGCCGCGAGATGTTACTACTCCTCTAGCAAGAGTCACAAGCTTAAACAAAAGAGTGAGCGTCCTTGAACATAGTTGGCCAAAAGAAACCCGACTCATTGATCTTTGCTACTGTCTTAGCGGGACCATGATGTCCACCATAGAGTGAGTTGTGGCATCTTGTAAGTACACCGTGAACTTCCCATTCGGGAACACACTTGCGAAATAGTCCATCTCCACACTCACGAAACAAAAAAGAATCATCCCAAAAATAATGTTTAATATCATAAAGGAACCTCTCTTTCTGTTGATAGGACAAATCAAGAGGTAGAGTACCGCCTACCACATAATTAGCATAGTCGGCATACCAAGGGTATTGCTCTACAACTACAAACAAGTGGTGATCAGGGAAAAAATCATCTATAGGAAGAGAATCCTTACCCTCATTATACTTGATCCTTGACAAGTGATCTGTAACTACATTCTTTGCTCCCTTTTAATCTTTAATTTCCACATCAAAATCTTGGAGTAAGAGAACCCAACGGAGGAGCCTAGGCTTTGTTTTTGCCTTAGCTATAAGATATTTCAAAGCTGCATGATCAGTATAAACAATAATTTTAGAACCAACAAGATATAATCTAAATTTTTCTAAAGCATAAATCACAGCACAAAACTCCTTCTCCGTAGTGGCGTAGTTGACTTTGGCTTCATCCAAAGTTTTACTTGCATTGTAAATAACATGCAAAACTCTGTCCTAGAACGGCTCCTACTGCAAAATCACTTGGCATCACACATAATCTCGAAAGGATGATTCCAGTCGAGAGCACATATGATAGGTGCTGATATCAAAGCCTACTTAATCCTGTTGAAAGCCTCAAGACACTCGTCAGTAAAATCAAATGGGGCATCCTTGAGTAAAAGCTGAGTTAGTGGTTTAGCAATTTTACAAAAATCTTTGATAAAGCAACGATAAAACCCCGCATGACCTAAGAAACTCCTAACCCCCTTAACATTGACTGGTGGAGGTAATTGCTCAATCACATAAACTTTAGCTTTATCTACTTGTATACCCTTATCATATACAATATGACCTAAGACCACACCTTCTGTCACAATAAAGTGACATTTTTCCCAATTTAAGATCAAATTGCATTCTTCACATCTTTTCAAAATTTAGTGAGATTACCTAAACATGTATCAAATGAAGACCCATACACACTAAAATCATCCATAAAGACTTCCATGATAGACTCTATCAATTTAGAAAAAATACTCATCATGCAACGTTGAAAAGTAGCAGGGGCAGTACATAAACCAAAGGGCATCCTACGATATGCAAAGGTGCCATAAGGGCATGGAAAGTTTGTCTTATCCTAATCTACGATAATCAATGCACATATGCCACCCTGTTACAATTCTAGTGAGAATCAAATAATTTATATCATTTTTAATCACAGTCATCCCCACCCTTTTTAGGAACTACCTGTACGGTACTCACCCACTATGAGTTAGAAATAGGATAGATAATACCTGCATTAACTAATTTCATAACCTCTTTCTTGATTCTTGCATGTTAGGATTCAATCTCCTCTAGGGTTGAATACATGGCTTGTGATAGTCCTCTAAGTGTATTCTGTGCATACAAAAGTCAGGGCTAATACCCTTGAGATCATCAACATTGTACCCAATTGCCCTTTTGTGGGTTCGAAGAACATCTAAGAGTTGGGAAATATGGGAATCATTGAGTGCAGTACTAATGATCACTGGGTGCAGTTCTTGCTCATCAAGAAATACATATTTTAAATGAGAAGGAAAAAGGTTTTAGCTCAGGTTTCTTAACCTCTGCAGGTTACGATTCCTGAACTAATTTTACTACCTTCTTGCTCTCCTTAGGTTCAAGTTGTTGAAGTGCGAGAGCTTCCTCAATAGCGTCCACCTCACTGCTCCAAATACCAGCATCACCTACAAGGACCTGTGGTAAGCTATCTTCACAAATAACATCAATCACATCAATGCTACCATAATTTTCCTCTCACATAGGACCTTTCAAAACTCTCCCTAAATTGAAAGTGATATTCTCATCTCCAACAGAAAGTGTAAGTTTTCCATTTTTAAAATCAATAATGGCCCCTCTAGTGTGGAGGAAAGGTCTACCTAATATTATGAGAATTTGTGTATCCTCAGCCTTGTCTAAAACAACAAAATCAATAGGGATAAAATATTTACCAACCCTAACTGTAACATCCTCTAAAATACCTAAGGGGTATTTACCAGAACGGTATGCCATTTGCAAAGTAATGTAATTAGTAACTTTTAAATCACCCATATTAAGCCTTAAACACACAGAGGATGGCATTACACTAACACTAGCACCCAAATCACATAATGCTTTTGAAAAGAATGGTGTCCTTCTAACAAGTGTATTATTCCGATAGAGGGTTCGGAATTATTAGAAAGCTAATTCTTCAAGGAGGTCAAGTGATCGGAATGCCTAGGTAGAGGCCGCTTCTGATTAGTAATATTAATGTGTAATTAATATTACAACTTAATCTTGGCTGAACCCTTCGGGTTGCACCCCAATCGAATAACAGACCCAAGACGACGAATCAATCCGAAGGATTAGATTAAACATTAGAGTACTACAAACAAAGACGTCGGATGTCGAGCTTAGAGCGTCGAAATCGAGCGTCGCAAGTCGAGTCGAGTTTAGAATTTGACGAGACGAGAAATCCAACAACAACAATTTCGAGCTAAGCCGTAGCCTCGTGTTGGCCTAGCCATGCGAGTGCTAGGCTAGCCTAGACCACGCACCATGCCGAGCTTGCTAGCAGTGCTTGCTAGCCAGCTGGTGTGGCATGGCCAGCATCGCTAGTGCGCTAGGCGTGCTAGCGTGCTAGTGCCTCGCACACAGCAGCCCTGCCGCAAGCATCGTAAGGCCAGCAGCACGCAAGTGCATGCTTGCTGGGCCTTGCTACCGCAAGCATCGCATGTAGTATGCCTAGCATGCATGCGCTGTGGCTATATGTGCTTGCTAGCACAGCAGCACCAGCCACGCGCAGTTGGGCCTCGCACAAGCACACCCTGCATCGCCTTATAGCACAACACCAGCCCGCATGCGTGGCCTGCTTGCTGCACGCATGCGGGTGCAAGCTAGCTTGGCAGCCCAGCCTTGGTGCTAGGCGTCAGCTGCAACCTTGGCAGCCAAGACAGGCTGCCAGCCAGCCAAGTGGCGTGGTCAAGCCCGGACAAGGGAGGGGACCATTTGCTTGGTATTTTTCTTGGGGAGCAAGGTGTTTTGGTCCCCCCCCCCTTTGGTGGTCGTCACCAACCTTCTCCCTCCATGTGACACTTGGAGCTTGTTGATTGCCTTGCATTTTATTTTGTTTTTGATTAAAATAAAATTGAGGAAAAATGCAAATCTCCCACAGTGATTGGAGAAGGGAGATTAAGTCTCCTTTCACTAGTAGAAAAATTGAATTCCGCACCGCATTTTTCTCACCGGTATTTCAAAACCGGTGGAAAAAGAAATGGGCGGGATTGGAAAATAGAGTTTTCGCACCGGTTCCAATCAAACCGGTGGGAAAAGTGAGTTTTTCCCACCGGTTCTGACCGAACCGGTGCGAAAATTGCTTAATAAAAAAAACCCGGTCTGATCTGCCTCTAAATGTATACTCTTTCTTTCTCTCTCTTTCCTCCATCTCTTTCATTTTCCTTTTCTCTCTCCTTCTCCACCGGCGGCGGCCACCTACCCCCTCTAAATATACACCCTCGCTTTCTCTTTCTAGATCAATCGTATTTGGAGTGAGTGTTTTCGGATTTTCGAATTTTCTGGGTGGGTGTTTTCGGGTGAGTGTTGAGTATTTCAGGGTGGTTGGACTGAGTTTCGGTAGTTAAGGTTTAGTTTCAAGCAGACGGCGCCTTCTAATCTGTGTATCCCCCATTGAAGAGGCAGCTTCTGAGGTAACTTGTTGTTTGAATCTGATTCATTTTAATAGTCAATGCGGTAAGTTTAGGGTTTGAAATCTCAACTATTTTTGATGTTTGAATCAAATTTCCCTTTGAATTTTCGACCCTAATTTGTAAATGAATCAAATATCCCTTAAAATATGTTATTTTTCGGGCATAATTTGATAATTGAATCAAATAACCCTAAAAATATGTGCTTTTTCGAATTTTGATTGAATCAAATGGGGTTCTGTTGAATTTCGATCTGATTTGCATGTGAATAGTTTGTCTTTGTGTCTTTTTGAGGAATATAATTTCTTGATTAGTTGCTTGATTTTGTGTCTTTCAAACAATATTAAAGCATAAGAAGTAAAATAATCCTGCTTTCCTTGACAATTACTGAAATAGTGTAATATGCATGATTAGTTTTTTTGTTTGCGTTCTTAGTTATCATCTTGATGGTTTTAAGCTTGCTGGTTGACTCTTATAATTTTTTATCTTATTATTGTGGTTTCTGTGACTTGTTTAATTGCGGTAGCAATCCTATATAATGGTTGTTGTGGTTGCTCAATGCTTTGTCATAGCTATATACTATTATCGTATAAGATTATCATGTTGAGGCGTATTACTATAGTTTAAGAATAGGGAGATCACTCTCCAACCTTGATCTCTGTCTCATCTAAGCAGAAACATAGTTGCACGCACTATGGTTTAATGCTGAGCGATAGTTGTTCATTAATGTCATTTAGAATTTGTTTGATGGCTTATGACCGGATTGAAATTGTTGATTTCTTATACTATATTGTCTTTAAGTCTAATACAGATTACATTTCCGCCTTATTTTCTCCTTGGGGTTTGTGTTGTAAAAAAATTATATTTATAAGTACTTGATATTTAAAGCTCTTGTAAGACTATGCATTAGTTTTTCCGTAAGAAAATTATAATCCATTAAAATTAGTTGCTTGATTTTGTGTCTTTAAAACAATATTAAAGTATATGAATAGCTTAAAAGTTAAAGTGTTGCAAGTAAAAAAAACAGTAGAAGTATGATTCCATCATGTTATTGCCTGCTGCTACCTAGGATAAATGCTTGCATCTTGTTGTTGTCGGTTTGGAATGAAGAAGTTGAGGGCTATAACATTTAAACAGATGGTCATTTGTTTGACCCTCTTCCTACTTTGGTGCCCTTCATCCTCATCAGTTGCCTAGGTTAGGTTGGCCTTTTTCTTCCTTTTCAACTAGAAGGGTCTATATTCTTCCATGCCATATAACTTTACAGAAGTGATTTGGTGGTTTCAGGATAGTTTTCTTTCATGAGGGATGTCTAATTTAGTACCATTAGCCCTCAATATGTTAGTTAATAAATAAGTGATTTTCTGCTACTGACAGGCAGACATCTTGCTTTCACTTGCATGAGAAGCTGCTGACACGTTTGGTTCTAAAAATTTCTGTCACAGACAGAGGAGTTGCAAAATAGGAGGTGTGCACCTTTATTTGAACATGAGATATTATACAATAAGGTATTTTTGGCTCTAGCGACTGGAAAGCAGTTCCTGATATTTGGAGAACAGCTGCAGAAAAGTATGCTGATCGTATTGCATTGATAGATCCATACCATGAACCTCCTTTAGAGTTGACTTATAAGCAGGTAAATTCTTAGGTAAATTCTTACCTGTATACATTTATACTCTTTTTAACAATATTTTTATTTTTTAAAAAAATCTAATTCTCTTTTCATCCACAACTTTATTATACTACAATTAGACAGTCATACTTGTGAATTCTTTATACTAGCGTTGTGATTTGTAGGGGGGTAGGTTTTTTTAGTGTATTTGAACTTCTGAGGTCTTGGTTAGAGGCTTTGCTCTTCTTGTATCGTTTAACTCTTATTGGTTTGCTTGTCCTAATCACAGCTTGAGCAAGAGATTTTAGATTTCTCTGAAGGCTTAAGAGTTGTCGTTGTAAAGCCAGATGAAAAGGTTGCCCTTTTTGCTGATAATTCATGTCGGTGGTTAATTGCTGACCATGGTATGTTGTCATCGTCCCTCGTTGTTCTTTTCTGAGTCTTTGGTTTACAGCTTGTGATCTGTTCTTATAGCTTATGGTGTGTACGATTTGCTCCAGAATCCAACAATCATCTCATTTCATCTTGGGATTCTGTAAGTTACTATTATTTGCTTCTTCATAAATTTTTATTCACAGTTTTCTTTTGAATTTAACTCAATTTAATTAATTTTTTATGAATTTTCTATGAATTTTACTATTTCTTTTTGATATGCAATGTTCAAAAGTCAAGCTATAAATCATTCACAGCTTTTTCAGTTTATAAAAGAGTTGAATAAGACTCTGTTTGGTTCTGAGTTGAAGGTTGTCTCTTTAGGTTCTAGGAAGAATCTCTGCATCAATCAAGGTATATAGACAATATAATCCATGATTTATTTACATCTTCTGAATTTCATCCATATTCATCTTATAATTTTTTTAAAAATAACTCTTTGATCCTGATACCTGGCAAAACTTGTTAATATATATTTCTATCAATTTACATTGGGCAGCTGTGCATCATATGTATGATAGTATGAAAATATAGCATCCTCTAATGTTATTGAAACCTGCAATTTTTTTGACACATTTCTTGCCAATTGCCATCATTAGTTATACGAAACCAATAAGAATCAGATTTTCTGAGATGGGGTTTTGTGGCATTGGTGTTTTCTAACTGTATTATGATAATGGGAGGAAGTTTGCTCATTTTATATTTAGCTGTGGCCTGTGGTTACATTCCTGCTGCTTGGCGGCAAAGTTGTATTCCGTGTTTCCTAATATTTTGCAATTTGGGATTTTCTCCATTTATGTTAATTCAGAGGTGCTGAAGATTGGTAACCCTGCTAGTATCAATGAACGTTGTTTGGAGCTGCACAATAGTAAGAAAAGTGGAGGTTCAAAGATCAAGGTGTGTGATACCTTGCTTATTTGAATTTGCTTTTTCAGTTGATCCTGCACTAGAGATAGTTGAACAGCTAATTTGTGCTCTCATTAAACCTTATCAACTCATCGCTAATATCATTTTAGCACTTTATTATTTAAGCATTTGAATGTCACTTGTATTAGACAAGTCAATTGTCTAATCATTGCATGGTTGAATAGAATGATTGTATAGTACGTTAGTCATTGTGTGGTTGAATAGAATGATTGTATACTTTGTTTCCTGGTAGGTTTTCAAAGGCAGAAAGATGGCTGGGCGCATGGGTGGCAAACAGCGGACAGTGAAAATCGGTGGGAAAAGAAATAGGCGGGATTGGAATTATACAAAGGTAATTTCTCTCAACTTGGTATATAGGTTGTGTTGTAAATTGTAGACAATGAAAGGCTATAAGGACTATTTTAGGGTGGCTTGCCCATAGTAACACTATTTAGTGTAGGATGACAGTGTAATTTGTTCCTGATTTTAATGCTTGCTGTTTTGTTTTTGTACTATTGGCTTTCTATTTAATTGTGAAATTGTTGTGTTGCTCTTTTCTCTTTGGTTATATATAGAGTGATTTGGTTTTGGAGAGTCTTATTGTCTTCTCTTCATTTTCTTTTGCCTATAAGTATATGGTGTTTCAGAGGCAACTTTTTTTTTTTTTTTTTTTAATTATACAGTGTACTTTAACCTATATTACTGAACCTATATTAAGCTAAATCTGCTAATTCTGGACACCAAAAACTGAACAGATTTCAAACTACCCTACTATGATGCTAGACTTTATAATCATATTGGACTGTACAGTGATACTCAGAATGATGCTTGCTAATGATAATTTAGTTTGAAAAATTCAGACTTTACTATTTGTTGGTTAAAATGGTTTTTGTTTGGTGCATTTTATATGATTTGGCTACAGATTATTATTCATTCAGATTGGACCATCAGATCACATGTTCTTACAAAGCAAGGAGTTCTAACATGGGTTTACAAAGCAAAGCAATGCAAGCAGTAGCAGAATAGCAATAGCAGAACAGCAAACAGAACACAAAGTAGCAGAAGCAGTAGCAGAACAGCAGTAGTTATGATATCCTAGCTGTGATAGTTCTTGGAGTTATCGGAGGTGTTCTGGGCAGCTTTTATAATTATCTTGTTGACATGCACTATCGTTCACAACGTTGTAGCACTAGGCCCAGCAAAACAGCTATATGTTTTTTTTTTTTTTTCAGTTTTTAAAGTGTAATATTACAAGTTATTGAGACAAATATATGTGTTTTATGTATATTATGATTATATATAAGTATTCGGTACAATTTAAGTGAAAAAAATGCAAAAAAAAAAAAAAAAAAAAATTTAATTTTTTGGGGCACTTTTGCCACCGGGTCAGTGTGAAAACCGGTGGGAAATGTAATAGTTTTGCCACCGGTTCACTCCAAAACCGGTGGGAAAAGTCCTCCAGCTATAAGATAAATCACATGTTTTTGCCACCGATTCACTCAAAAACCGGTGGGAAAAGTGGTTTTTGCCACCGGTTTTGAACCGGTGGGAAATCTTTAGGGATTTAGCACCCCCCCAAATCAAGAATGGTCCAAAACCGGTGGGGAATGTGTGGTTTGAACCGGTGGGGATTGAGGTTTTTCGCCTAGTGTTTCCCTATAAATACCCAAGTTTTGGGTTTGGGAAAAATTACTTAAGTTGAACTCAATAAGGCTTCTCCCTATAGGTGAGAATGTAGGGTTTCGTAGTGACCCGACACTATGCGGAAGGAAACCCCCCAAGACCCGCCCGTTAATTAAAGCAATTAACAAGCATAATAAACTTAATCAAACAAGATTAAGAAAAAGAATTATACCTTTAATGCGTGCTTCGCTCCCGAAGAGCTCTTACTTCAAAATCTCGAAACTACGAGATCTCCGACGGATCGTACCCTCGACCCGACCCGAGCGTCCTAAGTCTTGAAGGTTAGTCCAGACTTGGACAAAACAAAACTATGAGTTTTACGAATCAAATGTTTACTCTAATTATAAGAGTTGCCTTTTTAATTCCACTCAAGGTTGTGCATTTCCCAGTACCATGCCTTTGGTATTTATAGGGAAATGCACCCTTGAACTTCATTCCCCAACCAATGTGGGAGAATGAATAATTTGCTAATTAATTTATTTCTAAAATAAATTAATAAATAAATTCAATCACAATGCAACAAGTGTCAAGGGGAGAGAGAAGGTTAGGTGAGGACCATGGAGAGGTTGGGGGACCATGTCTTGCTCCCCAAGGCTTTTCCCTAGCTTTGGTCCCCACCCCTCACAAAACCGCCCTAAGCAAAGGGCCGCTGGGCTGCTGCCAGCCTGCCCAGCTGCCTTCGCATCCCAGCCAGGCAGTGCATGCTTAGTGTTGGGCGATGCTTGGTGCTGGTGCGTGCCAGTGCTAGGCGCTGGTGCGTGCTGGCGCTAGTGGTGGCCCTCGCATCTCTCGCAGCACCTCTCGCACACTTGCTAGCATAACCAGCATGCGTGCTGCTAGCGAGCCACGCATGCTGGCCCCCTTGCCTCGCACCATGCGCATCAGCCTCGCAGCACATGCACTAGCCACGCACCATGCGCACTAGTCACGCATAGCACACATCAGCCTCACACCACACGCACACCCACGCATCCTCTAGCAGCCTTGGTGCGTAGCAATGCTGGGCTGCTGTGCGTGGCCTAGCAACTTGCTGGCGCCCAGGCCCCTCGCACACGCATGGTGCGCTGCTTGGTGCTGCCATGCGAAGGCATGCACGCAAGCCAGCACGCATGCTGCGAAGGGCTGCCTGGTGCCTTAGTGCGCCTGTTGCTTACGATAGGCTGCCAGGTGCTCCTGGTGCGCCTGTTGCTTGCGATAGGCTGCCAGGTGCTTCTAGTGCGCCTGTTGCTTGCGATAGGCTGCCAGGTGCTCCTGGTGCGCCTAACACACTTTGTGTGCTTAGGCTTGCGCCTAGCCATGCTAGGTGCATGCTAGCTCGAGCTAGCTTAGTATCCACATGGCTAGGCCAGTGTGGTGCTAGGGCTATGTTCATTCTTGGTGCTTTGTGATTTTGCGACGCTCGGTCTCGACGCCCTAGGCTCGATATCCGTTGTCTATATTCGTAAAATTCTGTCGACTTATTAAATCATTTCGGATTAATTCATCGTCTCGGATCGGTGATTCGATTGGGTTCAACCCGAAGGGTTCAGTTAAGATTAAGCTATAATATCAATTGTATCTCGATATTATTGATCGGAAGCGGCCTCCACCTAGGCTTTTCGATCACTTGATCTTACTGAAGAATTAACTCTGTAATAATTCTGAACCCTCTATCGGAAGAATACGCTTTTTGGAAGGACACCATTCCTTTCAATCTCCCACTTGTCCTTCCGGACAAGTGTGCATATAGTGTATATCCCATTTCCTATGTCTCTTAATGTTTCTTCGTGAACTATAAGGTAAGATTTATCGTCATCCTTATTACGTTCAGAAGTGTTTCTCGATCTCCGAGTTCGACTGTCAATAAGCAGATGATTTCTAAAATCCTTCTGAGCACGGCCATGCATTTTCACAGTCTCGCTCTTCGAGCGGCCTTGTAAACAACAAAAAAAATTTCCCTATTGTTAATAGGGGGACAATCCCAGTCTTGCATTGTAAGTTCCTTTTACTAAGAGGACTTAGTCTCCCGAGTGTTCCCGTTATGATCCCCAGTTACGGCAGACGTTAGGAAACATCAAAGAGTCTAGTACTCAAACAAGAAAACTTCACAATACTCATGGTCGGAGGAAACAGGTTCCGATAGTCATAATGAGAAATGTACTTATGACAATTTGAAATTTCTTAAAGTACTCTCATAGGTCTTATCAAGTACGGTTCCAAACTGTACCTGTGCAAATGATTTATGAATGTCACGTCCTCGCAGCACAAGAAACGGTGCTGTAAATCATACTACACACTAATCTGTGCCGGTCATCAATCGTCCATTCTTTAGATGACCTTGATTAGGGACAATTTTCGATTTAAATATTCAATATTCACTTAACAGGTGTTTCTTTATCCAAGACATGGTCTTGATACCCTGTTTTGAATATTTCCATAAATCGAATGGACTCATTATTTAATTCTAAACCACAATTAAATAGTAATGGAGTGAATGATAATTTTGCACAAAAATTAATTACTCCATAAATGAATGGTTTCAATACAGTGTCTTACATTAAAACTACCAGTTTAATTAAAACACATGTACGGGGAATTTCAAAGCCAGTCTCCAACATGCTTGATTCCCATCGCCTCAATGTGCTTGTTGTGTCAAAGGATCGGCCACATTATCATCTGTGCCAATCTTACAAATTCTGATTTCACCTTCGGATTTCCATTCCCTTATCATATGAAATCGCCTTTGCACGTGTTTGACCTTCTGGTGTTCTCTAGGCTCCTTGGCCTGGCGATAGGTCCATTGTTATCACAATAGAGGTCTATCGGCCCCTTGATTTGAGGGTACAACACCAAGTTCGCTGATGAACTTGCGAATCCAAACAACTTCCTTGGCAGCTTCTGAAGCGGCCAAGTACTCGGCTTCAGTTGTAGAGTCTGCAGTGGTGCTCTGCTTGGCACTCTTCCAGCTAAACGCTCCTCCATTCAGACAAAATATGTACCCCGACTGTGACTTGAAGTCGTCTCTGTCAGTCTGGAAGCTAGCGTCGGTGTAACCTTCAACAACCAGTTCTTTGTGGCCTCCATACACCAGGAACTTATCCTTGTTCCTTTTCGGGTACTTTAGGATATTGTTGGCCGCAGTCCAATGCGCCTCTCCTGGGTTCGATTTGTATCGGCTCGTTGCACTCATGGCATACGATACATCTGGCCTTGTACATATCATGGCATACATGATCGATCTGATCAGCGAAGCATATGGGATCTGATCCATTCTTTCTTGCTCAACAGGTGTCTGTGGACACTGTTTCTTGCTGAGAGTTATGCCATGGGACATGGTTAAATGCCCTCTCTTGGCATTCTCCATGTTGAATCGAGCAAGAACCTAATCAATGTAAGTACTCTGGCTTAATCCAATCATCCTTTTAGATCTATCTCTGTAGATCTTGATGCCCAATATGTACTGTGCCTCTCCCAAGTCCTTCATTGAAAAACACTTTCCCAACCAGCCTTTTACGGACTCTAGTAATTTTGTGCTGTTTCTAATGAGAAGTATGTCATCGACATACAGGACTAGGAATGCAATATCACTCCCACTTACCTTCTTGTATACACAAGATTCATTTGGATTCTTGATAAAACCAAACTTGCTAATGGCTTCATCAAATCGCAGATTCCAACTTCTGTTGGCTTGCTTTAGTCCATAAATGGACTTCTTCAGCTTGCAAACCTTTCCAGCGTTGCTTGGATCGACAAAACCTTCTGGCTGTGTCATATACACAGTTTCTTCCAAAATTCCATTAAGGGAGGCGGTTTTGACATCCATTTGCCATATTTCATAATCGTAATATGCAGCAATCGCTAGGATGATCCGGACAGATTTTAGCATTCCAACTGGTGAAAAAGTTTCATCATAGTCAATCCCGTGGATTTGTCTATAGCCTTTTGCCACCAGTCTAGCTTTGTATATCGATACATTTCCATCCTTGTTTGTCTTCACTTTGAAGATCCATTTGCAACTAATGGGTGTATAACCCTCGGGCAAATTCACCAAGTCCCAGACTTAATTTTCAGACATGGAGTCCATCTCGGATTTCATGGCCTCTTGCCATTTTGCAGAGTCGGGGTTCGTCATAGCTTGCTTGTATGTCGCCGGCTCATCACCATCCATGACTAGGATGTCCTGATCATCGGTTAAGACGATACCGAGGTATCTGTCTGGATGAGATCTTTGTCGTTGCGACCTACGAAGGGTAATCGGTTGAGCATTTTCATTGTCAGTTTTATTCTGACCATTCTTCTTAGATGCTTCCAAAGCATCTAGATTGTTAGTTTTGTCAGGTTGACATTGTTTCTCGTCCTCTCGAACTTCGTCGAGTTCGATTTTCCACCCACTTGTCATTTTGGAAAGGTGTTCCTTCTCCAAAAAGACACTATCACGAGCAACAAATACTTTGTTCTCGGATTTATTGTAGAATTAATACCCTTTGGTTTCTTTTGGATATCCCACAAAGAAACACTTAGCCGATTTGGGGTGAAGTTTGTCCGAAATTAATCGCTTGACATATGCTTCGCATCCCCAAATCTTGAGAAAAGACAACCTAGGAGGTTTCTTAGTCCATAAT